TGGGATTCTGTTCATGCACAAGAGCAATGTAATGTTTCCTTTACTTCACTGCTTTTTTGTTAACATCTGGAAATATAAGTCTAATTACATGAGTAAATCTGGCTTTTCTGAACCAAATAGTACTTTATCACTTCGTATCCTAGCATCTAGTTCAGCCTGTTCATGAAACTTAATTATACTGCCTTAAATCTGCAAATTTGGTAGAAGAATAGTCTTATTCTCAGCTTGATCATATGAACATCAGACCAAATCAAGCCGTTAGTTCTCCTAGTTTCCAGACACTGTAGTATGAGAAATAACAGCTAAGATAGATAAATATGCTTAGGAATGACCATAAGAAACAACATATTTAGAGGGAGCCTTCCCCTTATCTGCTGCCTCAGCAGTTTCAGAAAGTGCTGTTCTTCAGCATTGAATTGAATACAGCATTGAATTGAATATTTTTATGAAAGAAGATTATTTACCCCACCTGTATGGTTCTTCAGATACTTTTGAAGCGTTTATTTCCTTCATGATTGGATAGCTACATTTATTTTCTCAAGTAAGCTGGATAGTCACTTGTTCAGCAGTCTGTGAAAGCCTTTGAGCAATACCGTATATGAATTGCCTGTAAAATTAGGGAAAAAAATTTACCACGTTCTTTAAAGCAAATAATGGATGTGAAACTACAGGCTCTTAGTGCCATAAACAACATCAGAAGTGTTATCACTGGGAGCAAAGTGAGTTAACTAACCTTTAAAGCTATAAATGAAGCCAGAATTGCCATGTGAACTTGTCACATTTCTCAAAAAATAATTAAATCACTTTAAAATTTGTTAGCTTTTAATATGGAAGACAGTTACTCCAGACCTAACCTTGGGTTGTTTTGATAATACTGGCAAATTGTCTTTGTGGGCAAATCCATTTTCATGTATATGGCTATTCAAGAGACTCTTCTAGAAATCATTGTAATATTTAATTAAAATGTTAAAATATTTAATTACTATAAGCCACAAGGGATACCACTGTTGTAATTGCATTTAAGATGAGGAAAAAAGTAATTTGTTTTTCAAATCTTGCTGACTTTATCAGCAATGGCATCAGCACTTTACCCTATTTTATTGTTTAAAAACTGATTAACCGCAGCGTTACTGTAGAGCAGGAGGAGAATATAAAAAGCTAATTCGCATTTTAATACATCAAGCTAACACAATGTGACAGTGTTGGAAAGAATACCTTTAAATGCATTTGCAAGTTTGGGTTTGATACATTACATTACTGCTTCAGTATTTGGAGGGAGTTATTTTTCCTTTTTTGTGTTTAGCATGGTTGTCTTTTTGAGCACGCTGTATGGTGGGCAAACTTTCTTTTCAGAATACATGTTTGAAAGAATAGTACAAGTGGGAGAATATTAAACCTGGTAAATGTTATAGTAAACTGGTGTAAGGTATAAGGAGAATAAAATGTTTAAGGTTACAATGACAACTCAGGTGAAAGTTCATTTTGTGATTTCTCAGTTACTGATACTTTGCATGAGGGCTGTTCTAATAATTTAAGGAGAGCAATTTAGTTACTCTAATCACAGGAGATACATGTCTGGCAACCTAATTGTAACCTTTATCATGACATCTGTTTTTGTTTTCTAATATGCCTGACACCTCAGCTTCTAAATACATTTGCTTTGTGATCAAAGCAGGTAGGTAGATTATTCATAGTAGTATTTAAAGGGTCGCCAACAAAAATATTCAGGGGTTTAAAACACATTTGGGAACTAACGTCATAAGTTGGTTTATGCTATGAAGTCGGTCTCATGAGAAAACAGAAGGTAGGGTTAACAGAAGAACTGCGGTCATGTGTAAATGCCTTGTATGCCATATATTTCATGGCTCTTAATTTATATAAAAACATTTACTTCAGTTGCCTTAATTGCTGTTTCAAAATGTGCCCTAAAACAATTCATAGCTGCACTACAATCTGTTCAATTTACGTAGCTGGTCAAGAGAATAAGCTTTTCTTTTTTTAACTCCTGTATGCTAACTGTGTAGATCACTGATTGTCAGCTGGTGAAGTGCACTGATTCTAGAGGTGAGGTATAAAGCAGAATCCAGCCAAGCAAGTTTCTGTGTGGTTCTTGGCTTGGATTCCCTGCCAGTGCTGGTGCACGTGAAAGAATAGGAGGTAGCAGCCAAAGGGTGAAGTGACAGCAATCTTGGGGTGGTGGTATTGAGGATATGAGGAGAAAGGTAGCCACACAAAAAGATTCAGGACTAATGGATAGTAGGTAGCAGAGCTACTACAGAGCAAGTCATCCTGGCTACTACTTCCAGAGATTTGAGGGACTGGAAGGTGATTGGGAATAGTCGGCATGGATTTACGAAGGGGAAATCTTGCTTAACCAACTGGATAGCCTTCTATGATGAGCTAACTAGCTTGGTGGATGAGAGGAAAGCAGTGGATGTTATTTGCCTTGACTTAATAAGGCTTTTGACACTCTCCCATAACATCCTCACAGACAAGCTGATGGAGGATGGGCTAGATGAGTGGTCATTAAGGTGTATTGAGAGCTGCCTGAACCGCCGCACTCAGCTGCGATCAGTAGCACAAAACCTAGATGGAGGCCAGTCCCTGGTGGTGTCCCCAGGGGTCAATACTGAGGCTAATTTTCGTTAGTGATATAGGACTGAATGCACGCTCAGCAAGTTCACAGACAACACGGCGCTGGGAGAAATAGCTGATACACCAGATAATTGTGCAGCCATTCGGAAGGACCATGACAAGCTGGAGAAATTGGCAGAGAGGAACCTCATAGAGTTGAACAAAGGGAATTGCAAAGTCCTTGCACCTGGGGAGGAGTAATCTCATGCCCAGTACAGACTGGGGGCTGACCGGTTGTAGAGCAGCTTTGCAGAGAAGGCGCTGGGGGGGGGGAGGGGGGGGCCTGATGGATGAGAGGTTGGCCACAGGCCCACAATGTGCCCTTGTGGCAAAGAAGGCCAACAGCATCCTTGGCTGCAGTAGGAAGAGCATTGTCAGCAGGTCGAGGGAAGTGATCTTTCCCTTCTAGTCAGCACTGATGAGGCCAAATCCGTGTCCAGTTCTGGGCTCTCCCAGGGCAAGGCAGACATGGATGTACTAGAGCATGTCCAGCAAAGGGCCACAAAGACGATTAAGGGAGTAGAGCATCTCTCATATGAGGAGAGGCTGAGAGCTGGGCCTGTTCAGCCTGGAGAATAAGCAACTCAGGAGGGATTTTATCAATGTTTATAAGTATCTAATGGAAGGCTGTAAAGAGGGTGGGGCCAAACTCTTCTCCATCATGCCCTGTGACAGGACGAGAGGCAGCAGGCACAAACTGAAACACAGGAAGTTACACTTAAACGTAAGAAAACATAAGGGGGCTGAGCAGTAGAACAGGTAGCCCAGAGAAGTTGTGGAGTCTCCATCCTTTGAGATACTTGAAACCTGACTAGACACAGTGCTGGCAACTTCCTCTAGGTGCTTGAGCAGGTGGGGGTTGGACCAGATGATCTCCGGAGTTCCCTTATAACCTCAGCCTTTCTGTGAACAGTGGACAGAGGAGGACATCCTCTGTGGGATTGTCACACCTGATTCTTATATCCATATGCACTCAGATGGGGAAAATGGAAGGCCAGCTGTCACTGATAGGATGGTCATAAAAGCTGTGTGATGCTAATCTGCCTAGGCTTCCTTTGTAAACAGCTGAGAAGGAGAGGTGCTCCTTTAGAGTGTGATTCAGAACAGGAGTCCGAAGCATCTTCTTTGAAAAAGCCTCTCTCAAATCCTAGGTTATAATGGAAGTCTAGGCAGATCGGCCGCAAAAGGCTAAATTTAGTCGTTTTGAATGTCACCTTTAGTCAGGGCTCCCTGGTGATGTAATTGCAATGAAGCAGTACGTTCTGCATGCTTGTAAAGATCGTGATTGAGCCATTAATGACATTAGTACTTAGCAAAATCTACAGATCTTTCTGATTTTAGAAGCAGGCTAAACAAATTGTGTATGACTTTCCAAATGACTTGTCCGTAAGCTATTTTGACTTTTGGAAGTTCTGAAGAACTTCCTGTATTTTGCAACATCTGTAATGTCTTTCAGTTTTTCTGTATTAGCATTAACCTTATTTTAAAAAAAAAAAAAAAAAAAAAAAAATCATTCCAGCCATAAAAGTCCATAAAGGAACTTTTGTTGGGTTGATACTAGTCTGTTTTTAAGATTTTCTTTGTCTTCTCTTCCCACCCATCTCCAACCCAAGAAAAAAAAGATTGCTTTTTGGTTCTTTGTCTACTTTTTGCTCTTTAATATTATAGTTAGGATTTAAAACCCCAATTCCTGTGCTTGAAGTACTAGATAACCACTTTATGATGAAAAATATGAAAAACTAAAAACATTATTTATATGAAAAATTATAAACATTTTTTACATGAAATTTGGTTTTAAAATGAAATAATTACTTTAAGACTTGTGCAAAGGTGTAGAAATGTTTAGCTTGTCATGTTTGGGCTCTCAGTTCCTACTCACATTTATGTAAGTATGTGCATACTTTACAGTATCAAAGCCTAAAGTTCTGAAATCAGTATGCGAATATGCACTAAGCATCCTTAGGTAGTGTTTATTCTGGGGGCTCCTATGTTATACTTCAATGTGAATTTCCTTATCTTAATTTTCTGCAAATGCAGGGATTGATGCTATTAAAGAAGCTTTCCTTTTTAAGCTATACCTCCTTTTTAGCACTGTGGTGAAGTCAGTTTTTAAGTTTTAGACATTATTTCTTCTGTTAGATGGAAATTTAAAAGGCGAAAGTTCATATTCAGGCCTCAAGTAACTTCCAAAACATGAGAAATTCAGAAAACTATTGATGTCGCCAATTAAGTTTTGTTGAAACGTTTTTGCTTCAAAAGTGGCATCTGTGTGAGGGTTTCCTCACTATACTAGTGCTCACTAAAGATTTTTTTGTTACTGCTACAGTGAACTAACATAGAGAAAATTTTGTTTTATCTCAAACCAGAAAGAACTCTGCAATATGATACTTGACTGCTGTGCTCAGCAAAGAACATATGAGAAATTCTTTGGGTTACTGGCAGGGGTGAGTTCTATTTTAAGATTTTACAGTTTGCAGTAGATAATTTCATTGGCTTACTCTAATTTTTGTGTGTCAGAAACTTATATTTTAATGGGTAAATAAAATTCTCTGTTTTATTCTGCAAACAGTTATATTAATTGATTTAATGTTTTGTTTGTAATAAGTATAGTGAATGCAGAACGAGTAAACTCACTTTCACCTTATTTTTGCTTTCTGTCCCATCCCTTTTTTTTCTCCTTGTGGTAGAAGAATGAATCAGTGGTAAAGGCATGGTACTGAAAGGAAGTAAAAGTACTCTGAGGTACTAGAAAAGATCCTTTTTACAGTGCTGGAGACTGACTTTGGAGACCCCTCTCTTTCACCACTTCATTAAGAGCTGTTCAGTTAGTTTTATTTAGAGGACAAGACTGACTGGCTAGTCTCCTCTTCCCCCCCCC